TTCTTTAACCTGATTCTCCTTATATTTCCCAACAGGATGCTTATACTTTGTAGATAACCTAGATTTTACTCGTTCTAATCTCATGGCTAGCTTAAGAGCTAAACCCACTTTGTAGAACCTGAAGCACTAATGAGATGCATTGGATAATTATTTAGGTAATCAATTACTTTTGGCAGATACTTTATCCATACTCTTATTGATCTAGGGTTTAAGGTTATACTTTTGATAGCATACTGGATTTTATAAAGTATTTCTGTTAACGTCTTATTGAATTGGTCCATAAGAGCTAATCCTCTGTGGCTATATGCACCAATTCCTTGAATTGTGACATTATACGCTTCCATTAATTGAGCAGTTTCACTCATAAATTCTTTATCACTATCACATTGTAGAAGTGTCAAGAATGTAAAAAGATTATTGAGATTATTATAAATTTTTTTGAATGCTTTAACAATCTCTGAACTATTCTTTGATGTAAAAGGAACACTTACGTTGAACCTGCTAGTCATATTTATAATTTGTAATACTGCTTTCTATATCTTTCTCTTATATTTATCATGTGTAAGAAATAAGAGGTCACACTGATGTACACAGTTTGGGCATAAAATTTTACTATAACTAACTCATGAATATTTTTCAGTGATGGAACATACTTTTGTTATTTATTCTGTCTATGCAACCATTCACAAACTTTTTTATATGAGAAATTATATCATTCTTTTTTATATGCATTTCTTAAAGCTTTTACATTGGAATGATAGCCTGTGGGTTAGTAAAAAAGCAATTTACAGATTAATGTTAACTTCTTATTTGGATCAATTCTAATAATAGGCTTGCTCAATTTACTAATTTTCGATATATTTACTATAGCAATAAACTATGTTTCAGTAAAGTCAAAAGATAAATTTATAATATACTGTAAAAAATAAAGACAAAGTCTCATTACTTCATAATAATCATGACATTTCATAAACCCCAACCCTTCAATTGAACAACTCATAGATCAGCTATAGATAAAGAACTTAAGCTAGAACAAATTAACCAAGAACTTTAAGAGATATTGCAATCAGAGATAGTCATTAACAAATCAAATAAAAAATATATAAAGAATTTGAAATATAAATATATCTAGTGTGAGAATGAAATTCAATCTTTCAATAAAGAACTGAAATAGTTTTAGAATGCTTTGGAGAAAGAAAAGATAGAGTTGAGATTAAAAATATTATTCCTTAAAAAAAGCCTATATCAAGCTAAAAAAGAGATCTGAGACAAGATATCTTATATTGATAATATAGAGAAACAATTACAAAAATCAGAAGAGTGGATTCAAAATCTAAGGCATAAATTCAAAGTTATTTCTTCTTGAAGAAGCTCTCCAAGTTTATATAATTCAGAAGAGGAAGATATAAATATGGTGAATCTTAATCATTTTATATAAATTGATCAAGGTTTAAATTGCATTGAGAATCATATTAGAAGAGCTGAAACACTATTAAATAATTCTATTAATATTATAAATAGTATTAAATGTTTCTTGAATGATATCTATCTTAATTACCAAAAGACATTTCAGGATATAGATAGTGTTATCACTCAACAAGATAACAGAAATAATTAAATAGTCTAGTTACAACAGGATGTCAATTTCTATAGACAACAGAATATTGTTTTGCAAAATCAAATTAATAAACTTGCCCAAAATAATTTTTAAAACCAAGTCAATCAGATTATCCAAGAATGAGATAACTTATAGAACCAAGTTAATTAAATTATTTGAGAGTGACATAACTTATGAAATTAAGTTAACCAACTTACTCAAGAGTGTAACAATTATTAAAATGATCTTACTTTGATGACTATAGCTTATAATAATGAACAGGAAAAATATTGTTGCTAATGGTTCTTATATTATGATAAAAATAGATACAGTATGTTGATAAATTAGTTTAAGAAAAGTTTGCTATCCAATTATTATTACAGCGATGCTATACCAATAATAGGGATTTACAATAAAGGTATGTTATATGAGAGCATTTGTGGTATAATATTATCTTATTATTAGAAAAACAATCTAAACTTAGACATATTTTTGAAGTTCTATATAGATTAAAAAACTATAGATTAAAATAAAAATTGCGAAGATGTTAGACTGATAAAGGATTATTAGAATATAGTCGAGATTAGTTTTTTGATAAATATTACAATAAATTCAACGATCGGAAGGCAATACATATCAAATAGAAAAATAGTGAGCATAATTTACAGCAATTAATTTTGAATTTACAAGCACAAATTTTATTACTACAGAATAATCAACCTATAAATAATCAATATAGAAAAATAGCAGAATATGTATCAACCCTATTTTAAGGAAAAGCTGGAAAAGATTCTAAAGAATGGATTAAAGATTTTAAGCAATATTGTGAAGCATCTGGACTTGATCTACTTGCAGATGCTCGAACCAGAGTAAGAATTCATGGACTTTTTGAGACTTGTTTGAGAGATAATACAAAAAATTGATGTAAAACTAATTTCAAGAATAAAAATTGAGAATTGTAAAATATTAGTAACAATACTAACTTGACTGATCTCAATACCATTAATGGATTGACTAACAATAATACATTGTGCAATATCAATGTTAATCAGTTTAGAGGTGGAATACTCTAAATCAGAAATACAGTTCCAGCTGACAACAATGCAATTGTTACACCATTAGTACTAGCTCATACCATTTTTAATAAGGACTGGTTAATATCTGGTGGTCAACCAACAGAATTAGCTCCCAATATTAATACAGGAGAAAATACCATAGCTCCAAAAATCTGCATTGAATAGATAATATATTGGTTCAGAACTAATTATCCAACAATAACTGCTGAAAAATCAAAAGTAGTATTTTATAATATTACTCTAAGTACTGATCCTATAGAGTGTTTTTATAAAAATTAAAAAGAATAGTTAGTCTTATCTATCCAATATTCCCAGTATTAAATTGGAAAGAAATAGTTAGACAACAATTCTTTCATGATCTTTTTCCCAACAATAAATTAGAAGTAAGATATATTAGTCTTGAAAATCTGATTTCTACTTTACTACCAAAATTAAAAGAAATTGAAAAAAGAAAGCTGAATTAATGTTAAGGCAGTACAATTCCAATTCTCATCCAGTTACCTCGCGTTCACAATCTACAGCTAATACAAAAGATTCTTATATAACAGGTAATGCAAGTATAATCAAAAATGAAATTGAAAACTATATAAAATCTATCATGGCATCTATATAAACTCAACCAGTCTCACAAACTATCTTTTCTAAATCTCAAAGAATCAAATCACACTTTCACAAGACAATTTTCAAAAAATTATAGTGGGTTTAAAGGGAACTATTGCTAAAGAATAGCAAACTTTGAAGAATATTCCTGGATCAGGAAAATAAAAAGTTAATGATCTTGCTATAAACTGTTTTTTAGATGGTGTTTTTGGTGACACAAGTTTACCAGAAGAAGTTTATAACTATGATCCAATTGAATATTTGAGAAAACAATTCGAGAATTTAGATATAAATCAAGCAAAACTAGCTCAAATAATACATGCTGTTTTAAAATCTTCTCATAAATGTTCAAAGTGTGATAAAACAAGTTATAATTTCCATAAATGCTTTAAAAATAAAAAGAAGAGCAAATCCAGATATTTTAACAAAAACAGATCTAAGAAAAAAGATAAGAATAATTTTGCTATTAGAGATTTAGATTCTGAGTCTGATACTACTTCTTTTGATAATGAATTCAAATCTGACTCTGGTTCTAGTTCTGGTTCTGATTCCAAAACAAAATCTGATTCTGAGAATGACTTAACTGAGACTGAAATTTTAATACTGTTAAGTCAAAAAAAAAGTAAAATAAAAGAGTAAATCATCCTCTAAAAAGAAGTCTAGTCCAAAGAAGAGACAAAGTCTTGAATCTCTGATTCAACATACTTTACAAAAGAAATCAGGTATGATTATTGATTTACAAATTTGAAAAATTATTCTAGCTATGTTTGACGATTCAAAGATTATAGAAATAATTAAAAACATTATTAATATGAATGTATCTATAACTTGAAGAGTCACTCCTAAAGGGCTTGCAAATATTGACTTTATAAATTATCAAGAGCCAGCTTCAGAAATACCTGATTCAGATAGAGAGAATGAAATACTAGATGATTCTATGGATATAGACTTTATTCAAAAAAAAAGATCCAGCTATAAATGTCATAACTATAAAATACAAAATTAAATAATAATAATTCTAGCAGTCACGATAAATCCTGATACAAATTTTCCAATTATGTTTGAGAATATAGCTAAATGATTAAAATTAGATATTGATATAAGGGAAAAACATGATCTTAGAGATATTGCTACTATCTCTACTGAATCACTTGGAATTGTTTGCAATATATCAATAAATTTTGCCTGAGGTTATACATATATTCTGATTTTGCAGTAGTCAAATATCTCAAACCATGCTAATTTTGCCAAATACTCTCCTAAATAAATATAATTATGATTTGCTTGTATCAAAATCAGAATTAAAACTTGTATGTAATGATAAAGAATATTTTATTCTAATAAATATGCATAAGGTCAAGAATAAGTTTAAAGTAAATTGTGCCACTATATTTCATAATGATAGGCCATTGGCATCTGATTAAATTTCCCAAAAGATGAACAATAGTAAAAATAACAATATACCATTCGAAAGGTGATATGCTTTTGTGAACTTTAGTCCAGATTCTGACAATTCAACTTTAAAAAAAAAAAAGTGTAAATTGTGAGGAATATAAGAAAGAAATATATGAAGCAACTAAAATTATTAATAATCTCAATTCCTTTATTCAATATCATATAGAATTATCCAGTAAAAATAGAAAGAGAAATGAATAAAGTTGAATTTATGTCTCATTGATTTTATAATCCAAATTTGTTAAATTTCTCTTATCTCTTTCTATAGTATGTCAAAGATAAGCAACTGTTTCTACATCTATTTTTTCTGTTGAGTCCTCTGAAATAACAGGTGAGTCTGATATTCAAACAGATTTGAATCTCTTTGTTTTTGTTTATTTACTTGATGTACCAGCTCTATTGGTACACTATTTATAACAGAACCATCTATTAGGCAATCCTTTAAATTATAACTCTTTGAGACTAAAGGTTTGGACTCCATATGAAAGACATTTATGGAAGAATTGGATATATTAGTGGAACTAGTGTCTTAAGTTAAATACTTATGGCTTTACCACTGATACTTAGTATTTTGATATATTGGGATGTAAAATTAGAGACATCATCATATGAATATGGTATAGACTGATTCCATAAAACTCTATTAGTTTCTATTCCTCTTCAAATCGGATAAATATATTTTGTTGATGTTTTATACTTATCTATCAACTTATTTAAAATTTTATATCTTGGTTTTATATTACAACACTATATAATATATGAATAATCTTTTGGTGTAAAAATAGATACATCATATTTTATATGTATTCTAACTATAGTGATAAATACTTTATTCTTTTTGTTGATTTAAAAATATAAGATATTTATATTGAATGAAAAATATAAAATAAATAAAAAAAATGTAATATATAAAATATATAAGTCTAATATTTAGTTTATACAACATCTTTCTAGTATATATATGTATTCTATTTTTTACATTTATTCTATATAATATATTAAGTCTAATATATATATATATTTAACTTGTTTATTTTATTCAAATATAATTTACAATTTATTTTTAACTATTGTTATAGGTATTAATGAAGAATTGTATTATGCTACAAAAATTATATCCAATCTAAATACTGGCAATGAATCATTGAGTGTAATTGATTAAAGTAAGAGCAGAATTTCAATCAAGAAAGAAAGGGATGGGATCAGGATAAAAAGAAGTGGAGTAAAAAACTAGAAGAGGTTGTTACTAAGAATCAAAATCTGCAGTTTGAAAATACTCACAAAGATATCTCTTTTGCAAAATTCAAAACTAAGTATACTACAAAATTAGAGGAGATTAAATTGCTTCAAAATAAAATGGAATTATTAAAGAATAAGTTAGATTTATTTCAGAAGAACTCATCAAAGAAAGGGTTCAAAATTATGTTTTTCAAGTCTAAAATAGTTGAATTAACTATAAAGATTAGTGAATTGGAGTGTCTGAAATTCAAGAATATATTGGAATCTATAGGCTCTATAAGTTATAATCCAAAGGGTCACCTAGATATGCAAGTGCCATTGTTTTACAAGCCTGAAGGAGTAACCCTAAAGAATTATATGGCTTGCTCTACAATAATCAGTAGAGATAATAAAAAAAATACATAGAGTGAGGAATAAAGTTCCATAACCAAGTCTGATAATATATCTTTGAATAGTACTGATCTCAGTAAATATTTTATACATAAAAAAAATATGAATCCAATAGAAAAAATTGATAGTAATATTTTGACATATATTAATAATAAGATTTCCAAACTATCAAAAAATAATACCGAGATTATTATCAAGGCAAGTAATGAAATTGATATTAATAAAACCAATAATAATATATTTCAAGAATTACTAAATATGGCTCCTTACCTTGCACAACCAGAAAATTATAATCCCTCTTGGATTGAATCACATTTTCAGATGAGACCTAGTTTCAAAGTTTTGCTTCTTTCAATAGAAGAAATAAGAGCAATCCCTGTTATAGCAAGTACTTTGATATTACTATTATCAACATATACTGTATATTACTTACTCTATTAATTATTGCTGTTATATGGTTTGTGATATTGAGATGCATATGGAATATAGATAAAAAAAGTGATTGGTTATGAAATACATGAACTAGGTATTAAGAACTATCTATTTAAACTTCAATATTATTTTATATATGAAAAAATATTATCTTTAAGCTTTTTTTGCTTTATAAAGAATTTGCAACTCACTTTTTTTTGAACTTGGAAGAAAAAAAAGAGTGCAAGAGCATGAATGAGATTGTTTTCTTGAAATATAAACATAATTTTGAGGTGAGGTTAAAATGAAAGTTACTACTATTCTACACAAAAAAGAGCTAAAAAGTAAATCATTGACTCTTATCGAATATACATAACCTAGTTAATATTAATCTCTAGAGTAGAGAGATTGTTATATTTAGCTAACTATATATTTTAAGTAAGGGGTTTTTGTCACTTATTACAAATAAGTATAAGAAAAAATTCAAATAAAAAATTATTATACTTGATATTCAAATTATATAAAGAGGATTTTGAGATTATAGGTGATTCTCTTACTTGATATCTACCTTATGTCTCAAAAAGACACCTCTTTGGACTTGCAATTTTATATAAGTACTTTGGATATAATTTATCAAATAAACATTTTTGTATCACACGATTTGATCTCGATATAGGTTTGAATATAATTATACTTCAAGTAGAGATAACATGCCAAAAAGTTGGGCCACTAAGGTAAAACTATTACAGATATATATAATTATACTTTTGTGAATCATCAAGTCAAGTAAAAAAAGTGAGTATCAAAAAATAATATATCAAAATTATTAAAAAAGTAATATATCAAGGTTATTAAAAATAATTCAATTTTTAACATAAAGCAAAGTATTTGAAAGTATTAGTTATATGAGAAAGAGTTCTAGAATAAAAAAGTATAGTAAACTTTTGATAATATGTTAAGATAAAATATTATAAGGAAAAAGATAAGATAAATTTGTGTTTTGATATATTACCAAATAAATAATGACAATTTGACACTATATATCTTATTCATATTAATATTCGAGTGTATTATAATAGTTAGCAATTCAGTATTACGTACCTAATCTGTGATCGATATTCAAGTGCATTATAATAATTAGCAATTCAGTACTACGTGCCTTATCATTGGATAATATTTAAATGAATTATGCGAAGCTAATAACTGTTATCAATTTAGCATTACATGTCTCATTATTGAATGTTTTGATATATTACTAGATATATTAAGGCACTTCATGATATTTTTTTGAAATACAATTTGATACTATATACTTTATTTGAGATTGATATTTGAATGCATTAAACAAAACTAGGATACAAATATTATTTCGGTACTATGTGCCTTAAACCTAGCTCTTATCCAGGAATTAAACAGAAAGCTAAGGTACTATGTATCAGTTCGGACATAGTTTTCACATCAGATTCACAAATGATGATATATAATTGGATGTATCATTAAATATTTTTTGTTCATGTGATCCAGTGACAGAAATTGTTCATGACTACTAAATCGGTATATATTATGTTACATATGGGTGATAACAAAAATTTGTCATGATCATTATTCAAGTGACATGAAAAATGCAAAACACATGTCAAGCCATGATATATTGTACCTATTCTCAGTATATGTCTTAGTGACTTTTGAATGGTGAAACAAATATGATTTACATATCATCAAATTATTAAAAAAAAGCAAATATTAAGCTTATTAGAGGTCAAAATATGTAGTTATAAAATAAGTAGATAGCAGTATACTCATAAGTAGGTAATAGTATACCTATAAGTAAGTAATAGTATATCTATAAGTAAGTAATAGTCTAGTGTAAGTAAAGAACAACATATATATATTATTCTTTACTTATGTAAATAATATTAAATAATTTATAAATATAAACAAATTTTTTTCACAAGTTTAATGAATTTTTGCTAAATAGTTGATAAATGATTAATAAATTTTTGTTAAATATTTAAAGGAATATTTAATAAATTTTAATAAATTATTAATTCATTTTTTGTTAAATTATTAATGAATTTTTGATGAATTGTTAATAAATTATTGTTGATTTTTTATTAAAGTATTAATAGATAATTTTATTTTTGAATTGTTAATTAGTTACTGTATATTGTTAAATATTTTATTTACTATTTTATTGATGATTTATTGTAATTTTTTAATTATCACTTTATTGCTAAAATGGTAATATATTGAGTGACATTATTCAAAAAATTTGACAATCTTTTTATTTATTTTTTTTTAAACCTTCTGTCAGGCTAGTTATGTGTGCTTTATTAAACAATTGTAAGCTGTACATATAGTATGAATCGCTAAAGCT